TCAGGTTCCTAGTAACCATAGCAACGCATCTCCTCAGTATCTACACCATGTTGATATAGCCGACACAGAGCCTCAAAATCTACATTGCCTTAGTCTTGAATATTAAGTACAGCCTTTTGTATCAACAATGACAACTCTACCATAGTGCCTTAGTAGTTTATTACATATCTTATATATATATAAACACATCTATCTTACACACACACACACACACACACACACACACACAACACACACCCACACCACACACAACACATACATATATACATGCACATATATACACATTCATACACACTTACTAAGCACATGCACAGCACATGCACATCACACACACACACACCGCACACACAACACACACACACACACCACCACACACAGTCACACACACACACACACACACACACACACACCACAGATACACATACATCTGTATGTATATATAATGTATGTAATAATACAGATATACAATATTTCTAAATACATATATATATATATATACAAATACGTACGATATATGTAGTATAACATATAGCTTTTTTTTTTTGTGTGTGTGTGTGTATGGATGTATGTGTGTGTGTGAATATATATATACATACTATATACATACATTATATATATATATATATATATCTATATATATATACATATATATATTATTGTATTACACATACACATCCACTATATATGATGTGTAATATATATCTATTTATATATATACAAAGTGGATGTGAGTGTTTGGGTTTATCAACCTTTCTTTCATCACTAAGCAAATTTGTGACATAAAATATCGATATTCATCCCAAAGGTATATACTGTGTTTATTTGTTATTTTATCATGATTTATTTGAACTATTTTTAATGCATTCCAGTAAGAAGACTTTTCATTTTGGTCTTTCACCCTCACGCCTGCCTGCTGCCTGTGTGCTGCCTGTGTGTCTTTTGGTGTGCCACACCCATTGAACTTTGGCATACTGCGGTGCACAGCCAAACTTCTTTGCCTGTGAATGATCAGGATGTTGGCGTCACGTACATGGTTAGCGGCAACAGAGTCCTGCTCTTGATGCAGATGCTCAGGCCAATTTAGCCATGCAACCAGAGTTTCTCCTGCAACATTAAGATTCCTACTTTTATAGTATCTCAATACCATACGAATTTTCTAGCTAGAACTTTGAGACTGTTTCACATGTCACTTTATACCTATTTCAGTCATCATTTATTTTTCTCTTTTCTACAATATCTTGTGGGGCGATATTCTTATAAATTCCTCATTTCCTCTCCTTCTGTCTCTCCTCTTTTAGCTCAAGTAATTTCTTAAGTCCATTAATTCCTTTATCTTTACTAATTTCAGTTTATTTTATTTCTCTCTCTCTTTCTCTTTATCTCTCTCTTTTTTTTTTTCTCTTTCTCCTTGCTCTTTCTCTCTTCTCTGCTCTTCCTCACTCTTTAGCTTTCTCTCTCTCTCTCTCGACCTCTCTCAGTCTCTCTCTCTCCGTCTCTCTCTCTCTCTCTCCTCTCTCTCTCTCTCTCTCTCATCTCTCTCTCCTCTCTCTCCTTGCATTTATATATATTCTTGATGCATCATTTTACATGAGGGGTAGTACACATGCTTTTTTTAGCCCCTTTCACATACGATTATTTTAAATATGGACCTTACAAGATATTCTAAACAGTCTTTTGTGAGCTGCTGAGCCAACCTTTCTCTCTCCTCTCTCTCTCTTCAATCTCTATCTCAGATGCTCCCCTCTCGTCTCATCTCTCTCTCTCTCTCTCTCTCTTTCTCCCCCCTCTCTCTTCTCACCACATCTCTCTCTCTCTCTTCTCTCTCTCTCTCTCTCTCTCCTCTCTCGTCTCTCTCCTCTCCTCGTCCTCTCTCTCTCTCCTCTCCTTCCCCCCCCTCCCCTCTCTCTCTCCTCTCTCTCTCTCTCCCTCCCTCCCCTCCCTCCCTCCCTTCCCTGTCCCGCCCTCCGCTCCTCTCTCTCTCCTCTCATCTCTCGTCTCTCTCCTCTCCTCTCTCTCTATCCTCTCTCCTCTCATCATCTCTCTCTCTCTCATCTCCTCTCTCCTCTCTCTCTCTCGCCCTGTCGATATACCAAGGTTTTCTAGTATTAATTGCAATGGCATTGCACCCTCAGGTCCA